GGACGCCCCGGGGCCACAGCCCGACCCCGACGGCGGGGACGCCCCAGGCCACGAGCCCGGGGGCAGTCCCCAGGACGAGTTCGACTTCTCCATCCTCTTCGACTATGACTATCTGAATCCCATCCCAGGTCGGTGGAGGCTCCCCCGCCGCCCCGAGCCCGGGCGGGGGCGCGAGCCTGGGGAGGGGACATGGCCTCTCTGCCCCACGCGCCTCACTTCCTGGGAGGCCTGGAGCTGGGGGTGCCCCTACCCAGGTGAGAGGGAGGGGAGGCGGCGACAGTGGCTGCGCCACCCTTAGGGGGCGGTAGGCTCACTCGTGCCCCGTAGGGGCGACAGTTTCCAATTACTTGTGACGTCGACCCGAGGGTCGCTGCTGGAAAAGCAAAAGATGGCAGATCCCCAGGCTGGGGGACTCTGTTGGCCTAGGGCCCGGCAGTGGGTCCTACTGGAAGTGATTTAGCTGCCTCTGGAGGGAGGAGGTGAGGGAGCCAGGACTGGGGTTAGGGGGAGGGTGGGGACGGAGCTCCCGAGCAGCAGCGAGGGATCCCTGGGCTTCGGTGAGACTGTGCCCCACCACCTCCCGACCAGCGTGGTGTGGGGGACTTTGTGTTGAAACTAATAAGGAAGAGGCTGGCTGTCTGCGCTGGAGGGTGGTTGACTTCGGTGGTGTGAGGCGGCCCATTTCCTCTCCAGGCTCTGCTGCTGCGTTTGCCAATCGGCCCCAAGAGGTCCACTCTGAGCTTTGTGAAGTGGTCTTCCCCGCCCAGTCGGAATGGCTGGGGGCCTGGCGGGCAGCAGGAGTGTGGATTCAGGAGGACAGTCTACATTTCTGCCTAAACCCCTGCATTCTGTACCTGCAAGTGCCCTGAGTCTTTGGGGGCTGGGGACTGGGAACTTCCCCAGGCTGGGCTGCAGGCTCCTGAATGGGGGGCCTTTCACCAGGTCACAGGAGCCTTCATCAGAAGGAGGAGAAAGAAAAGGTGTCACCCTTGGCCTCTCACTATTTTTCTGGTTAGCAGGTTGTCTTGGAAGAAACACACACACACACACACACACACACACACACCAAAAAAAAAAAAAAAAAACCAAAACCCCAAGTAAGGCTTCCTGATTTCAGTGCTTGTTACCAGCCCCAGGGTGCGCGCAAGTAACTTCCAGATGTGCTGGGGGCCTGCCCCATAGAAAGGGCTCGTGTTTCCCTGCTGGGGAAATAAGCCCCTGTATGTGTTTGGTGTTTTTTTTTGTGGGGGGGCGCTTAGTGGCTTCCTGGTTCCCAGAGCCTCTGTCAGGCAGCTGGATAGAGAAGTTTTTACTTGCCACCTGTGTCCTCCCAGGCCACCTTTGAGGACGGTCTGGTCTCTGACTGTGGGTATCACTCTCCCTTGGATCCCGGGAGATGGCAATTAGTAACAATTTTGTGCTTTGACTGGAGATGGAAACAATCAGCCAGCAGAGGAGACCCAGGCTCTGCAGCTGTAATCTGGAGGACATCCTCTGCTTTGAAAAGATACAATTAAGAATCTGGGAAGGATCCATGTTAACAGTTAACATCGGTGGTCTTTCTGTTCATTAAGATTAAAGCCATGTTTTGCAGGGAGTTAATACTTATACCCCTCTGGGATGCACAATCAGCTAGCTTTTTTTTTTTTTTTGAGGGGTGGGGTTAGGGAGAGGGGGAGGATTTCCGGGGAAATAGTTTCCAAGCCAAATCTGGTGGGAGGTACTTTTTATAGTTTTTCTTGGCAAGTGGTGTTTGGTGGCCACCAGATGGGTATCTTAATGACCACAGTGAAAGCCCTGGAATCTTTTTTTTTTTTTTCTAAAATAATAAACTTCATTTTTTGGAACAGTTTCAGATTTACAGAAATGTTGTGAAGCTACCACAGAACCCCCCACCTGCCCAGGACCGGGTTTCCTCGTATTGTTAACATCTCACATTAATATGGTACATTTGTTATAATTCAGGAACCCATATCGATACATTATTATTGAAGTCTATACTTTTTTAGATTCAGATGTTCTTTTTTTTTTTTTTTTTAAGACCTTGTCAGTTCTGAGAAGTACTGGTTAGGTATATTGTAGACTGTCCCTTAATTTTTTTAAAAACCATTTTTTCTCTTGATTAGAATAAGGCTGTGTGATATCTAGGAAGAAGGCCACTAAGGTTAAGTGCTTTCTCACTGCACACATCACTGTCGATAGTTTGTCACCGTTGATGTTGACTTGATCGCCCGGCAGAGGGTAGGTACGTTGGTCGGGTTTCTGCTCTTCAGTGACTCCTTTGGAAGGCAATTCTGTGTGGAGCCCGCACAGTCGAAGTTCAGTTTTGCTGTGCGTCTGTTAAATGATGCCTCTTTGCTGCAGGGAGCTAGGACAGCAGAGTCAGCCCCCAGGAACAGAAGGGACATTGTGAGCTTTGAGAGGCCAAGATGAGTCGTCCCAGACGTGGGTGGGGCTCTGGCTGTCACATTTCTGAGCTTCTGCATGACGGACCTCTCCGAGAGCCAAAGCCAACCTTGTCAGCTTGGTCCCGGATGGGAGCGCCCCGGTGATGCGCGCTACCTCCTAACCTGGAGTGTTGGCCCTAACACTGGGCTGAGCCTGGGAGGAGAAGGACCACCGAGGGGCCAGGCACCACCATCAAGAACTCAGGGAAGTTTTAGGATGTCAGATCCCATTTTATGGAACTAGCGTGTGGTGGACCTGGATCAGCCCAGTTAATATCCCTGGGACCCTAGCAGGCAGGCACTGCTTCCATCCCCATTTTACAGAGAAGGGTGAGAAGGCACAGAGAGGTAAAGTGATCTTCTCAAGAAAGTACAGCTGGTCAACGGCAGAGCTCAGGTCTGAGCATGCTCCAGAGCTCGGTCTCAGAACTCTAGGAGGCTCCTCACTGCTCCATTGATAAGAGGTGCATGCATAGCCATTGGCCAGGCCCCTGGGATCATGGCAAGGGTGGACGTGTAAACACGAGCAGGGTGTTCTTGAGTTAGTCATTTGACAGCTCTGGATCTCTGTTTGCTTATGTGTAAAGTGGTTGAAATAACGGTCCTCACCTTAAAGGATCATGGCCCACCTGGAGTGGGTTAATTCATTTAAATCAGCACAAGGTGTGATTCATCACCAGCATTTTGTTAAACTCTTGCTTTTATTAATAGAGGTGCTCAATTAATGAGAGCCATTATTCAGTTACTCACCCAACCAACTGTTAAGCATGGATCATGCTAGGTCTTGGGAATACCATGGACAATAAGACCTCATGCCTTAAAATGTGCCTGTTCTTTTCCTGTGTCTGACTGCATTGTCAGATGCCTGCAGGAGGAGGTTGTGCGTCAGCGTTGGTTTAGCATTGAGGTGCACACATTTACTTATGTTGAGGAGGTAACCATCCATTCTTATTTCCTTGGGAGTTTTGTTAGGAATGAGAGTTGAATCACATCAAAGGCTGTTTAGCATCTATGGGAAATAGGATTTTATTCTTCTGAGACCTGTTACCGTATTGGCTTATATTAATCAAATGCCTAATATTGAAACATTCTTGACATAAACTCTCTTGGTGACTTTGTATTGTTTTTTTGAAGAGCGGTGACATCTGTTGGTAATAGTTAAGTGTTTTTTCTTCCAGCAATATTCACCTTTAGTGCCTTTTTTCCTGTGCAGTCAAGCTTTAGGTTTTGTTCCTTCTCTATGCTCGGGAGCAACTCATGTATCCCGAGCAGAACAGTCTTTAACACTGTGCCAGAGTCCTCTGTGGAACTTCTGGTACTGGTGCTTTTTTGTGGGCTTGTTTCTGGGTGACTTTCTCTGTTGAGTCTGTGAGGATTGGGCTGTTTACACTTTCTATTTCTATTGGAGTCAGTTTTGGTAAACTATTTTTCTAAGAAACGATCCATTTCATCTATCTAGGCTTTCAAACTTGACTAGAGATGTCAAGTGCATGCACATATTTTTACTAGTGGAAGGGGCAGCCAAGCATATCATATGTGTGTGTGTGTGTGTGTGTATGTGTGTGTATACGGCATCCTGACTTCTGCAGGTCCCACCCTGGAGGGGACGTGTTGTTGTCGAACACTTGAGGATTTGGATTTCTTGTGCATGCTTGGAATTTGGTGGACTCTCACTTCTCCCAACTCATAATACTTTCAGGGAGACAGATGGGTACTGGGAATCCTGATCACCTCCAGAACTGTGGGATCCCCGTGTGCTGCCTGGCCATGGATGTGGTAGGGTGCTCATCTCTGGTTTGCCCTAATAGGTCTGCTGCGTCCCTCCTTCCAGTCCTGGGAAGTTAGGCCTCTGGCGCCAGCCTTGCCATTCCCCGAGACGGCAGACTCTTCCCGGCCACTGCTTATTGTTTTGTAGAGTCTCTTCCTCGGATCCTTCAGCTCTGGGGGTGGCAGCCCGTTGACAAAGCCCATTGACAAAGCTGCGGGTGCCACTCAGGCACACACATGTGAGTGTGCACACTCTAAGGACTGTAGGTGCACACAGCATGCACGAGCCCGTGGGGGCGCCTCTGCATCCTCCCCGAGTGCTGCCCCCCACGTGTGCCTTGCACCCCATCTCAGGGCAGTTGCAGACCCTCTGGCCCGCCCCCTAGTGCCGACAGCACTTCTCCTGAGGAACACCTGCTCTCAGCCCTGTCACAGGGGACAATTAAAACCTCATTCTTTCAGCAAACACACCGAATGCTGGTTTCGTGCCAGGCCCCGTGGGTGTAGAGACAAATGAGATGTGGTCCCTGCCCTTGCCTGGCCCCCGGGCCAACGTGGGGCACAGCCTGGTAAACAAATAGGGACAAATGAGGTGCTGTGATACAGTAACTGGTTTTTTTGGTGCTTGCTAAAAATAGGGCTGCACGCCAAGCAGGCAGGTTCTCTGAACACACGTGACGCACACGGTGCTGTCGGTGTGGCATTGGGCACAGGCCTTAGTGAGCCTGTCTCCAGGTGCAGCTGGGAGGTGAGGCGAGGCTGGACTTGAGCCGAGGCCTTGTCAGGGAGCAGAGGACCTGGGGATAGAGCTGCCGCCATCCTCTGCTCTGCTCAACACATGTCACTCAAGCTCCCAAATTAAAGGCCCTCTGTCCCTTAGGGGCCTTAGCTTTGGATTGGGAGCAGAGGCTGTG